CAGAGAGGGGAGAGGGGAGAGAATTTCACTTCGCAAGGTTTAAGTCCAAGAAGTGGGTAGACGAAAGGCCTAATATTAGGAAATATTTACATGTATTATTATCATTTATTTATAGTACCACCATCTTACCTTCGCTTCTTTTCTTATCCAAAAAATCCAAGGGGTCGAGAATGGAATGAATGAATGCTGGCGAGACAGTTGTGTTATTTTCTCCCGAGCCGTTGCAGGCTGATGCACGCACACACACCACACAAACGCGTACAACTCTGCACTGTTTTTGTTTATACTCGCGTGTGAACTTTTAAGCTAACGGAGTGTGGAGTGTGGGGGCCGCGAAAGGACCCCTTGCGCTCCGTATAATAGCAACAGTGCTTGGCGTCGTGAGTCTTTCGTTTATTTGCACGACAGGGTATTTGATGGATAATTGCCAACATGTAAAATAACTGGTCTTTGAAATGTACATGTGCCCACAGTCGAAACTATCTAGGACGAGGAAAAGAATAACCATCTAGGCAGGTGGATTCCTTACACAGAGTCATTATAAATTATACTGTAAAAAAATGTAAGGACAAATTAGAAGTGGCCGCTTGTACAGGAGATTGTCTTACACTTACACAGGTGGCCGTAGAGCAGGTTCGGTTGTGTATATATCATAGGCCTATACCTGTATATATATTCATATATATATATGTGAGATAGGGTATACATGTGTCTGTGTGTTAAGGTATAAACTATGATCATTACTTTCCCAAATTTCTAGTGGTTCCAAGCATAGTCTTTGTGTATAAAAACCTTACTTTTCTAAAGCAGCATTAACTCATAATAAACTCTTGCCAAGAAATATGTTCTCAAAATATTTTCGGGAATTCATCTTCCCTTCAAAACCGAGAGGGTCAGGCAGCTTTTACGCCTCTGTGAACTTGCACTTTTCGGCTAAATTCCTCACACACTGTTCACATGTCAACATTCTTTATAATGTCGTTCTGTTTTAGCCTCCTTGACCCCCACCCCTTCCACTATATTTCTTTCTCTTAAAAAAAGTTTTAGTTGATTTGTGTTTTCTCTGCACTTCTGCTCCTGCTTTGCCCTTAATCCTTACATTTTACATCTCCGTCTGTCTTATTTTCTTCCTCTCTGATGTATGTTCTCCTGCTCTCCCTTCCCCCCTCTCTCTCCCTTTCCCCCCTCTCTCTCTCCCTCTCTCGC